AATAAATTTTTTTAACATCTTTGCGTTCTTTTGCCAAATCTTGGCCTTGCTACTTTGCTGCCATTTAACGCCTTTTTTGTGTTCCTTTGCCAGATTTTTAGCCTTGCCACTTTGCAGCCTCTTAACGTGTTTTGCGTTCTTGTATTCAAGATCGTTTCTCGATCTCAAATTTACCGCATCACCGTTTTAAAACCATCTCTTGGTCTTAAATTAACGGCATCGCCGTTTCAAGCCATCTCACAGACTCAAAAAAATGGCATTACCATTTCACGGTCAGTAACAACATTGTCGTTTCAATCTATCTCAATGTCTTAACGTCTCAACATTGGCATTAATCTGTTGTAGGTCTTCGGTGTGAACATCATATCCGACCGATCTTCGGGCCACCTTGATCAACGTTTGCTTCTTTTTTTTCTCAGATTTGACAGTCATGTATAACCTTCGGGTTCAAATTTAACCTTCAGGTTCTTACATTTTAACCTTCGGGTTTCTACATTAACCTTCGGATTCTCCTTTAAACATTTGGGTTTCATTCAAGGATTATTATCTTAAACTTTGAATTGCTGCTATTATGGTCTCTTCACTGGCACCTGCTTCTCTGGCTCGGTCTAAGCTCTTTTGTACCTATTGTAAGAAGGAGGGACACCGCTTTGAGATATGTTTTCAGCTTTATCCTGAGTTACGTTTCTCAGGAACTAACCATAGTCAGCGATCCCCTCTGTCCCGATCCTCTAGTGCACCAGGATTACCGGTCAATGTTATGTCATCTACCACTTTAGACCCTACCATTCAAGCTATTTTATATATTAGCCATCAAATTACGGCTCTTCAGCATACTATCTCTCCATCTGCTACAAAACTCTCTGATATTCGTCATTAAATTGAGGCTCTTCAAGCTATTACAAATATTAGTCATCAAATTGTGGCTCTTCCGCATACCACCTCTCCATCTACTACACAACTCTCTGATATTCTCTATCAAATTAATACTCTTCAGCATAGAGCCTCTACATCTACTATACAACTCTCTAGTATGCGTCTTGCTGGTTCTTCAGCCAACTCTTCGGTCTCTAGTATGAATGATCTCTGGATTTTTGACTCTGGTTGTTCCTTTCATATGACTCATAATACATCCCTCTTATCTTATATCTTCACTTCCTCTTCTCTTCCCCCTATCGGCTGCTGGACAACCTTTGTCTGTCACTCAGTATGGCTTTATCACCTCACAAACTGACCCATCTAGTTATCTAACTCTTGGCCCCGTCTATGTGGCTCATCAGTTGTGTTTGAATTTTATTTTTTGTTAGCTCCTTATGTATGGATGACCTACTTGTCTCATTTTCTTCTGGTACTTGTATTATGCAGGATCCAAAGATGAGCAAGACTGTTAGGGCCGGTTGGAGGAGACACAAACTATATTTTTTGAAATATCTTCACCTTTCAGAGTCCATACATCCACGTTCTCTTGTTGCTTTTGTAAGTCCAAAATCCTATGCCTTGCTTTCCGTAGATTTTTAGCATAGATGACTTGGTCATGTGTCTTATAAAAGGCTAAAGCGTCTTATCCAGTCCGGAGTACTTGGTCCCGTATCCTCTCATTCTCACATTAAGTCATGTACTGGTTGTGAATTGGCTAAATTCACTACTCTAGCATTTTCAACCAGTACATCTGTTTTCACTTTCTTATTTGGTTTGGTCCATTCTGATATCTGGGGCCAGTTCCTCTGCCTTCTTCATCTGACTACTTATATTATGTTAGTTTTATCGATGATTTCTCTTGTTATACTGGGTCTGCCTACTTAAAAATCGCTCTGACGTAATTGTTGTTTACCAAGCCTTCATTGTGATGATCTTCACTCAATGACAAGCTAGTATTAAAGTTTTTTATTCTGACTATGTCAAAGAGTACCTATCCTCTACCATGCACTCTATCATGCCCTCTCATGGGACTATCTTTCAATAGTCATGTCCCTACACTCATGAGCAAAATGGTATTGCTGAACGCAAACATCGTTATATTCTCAATACCGCTCGATCCATGCTTATTTCTTACTCCGTTCCTCATCGTTTTTGGGCTGAGGCCATTCTCACTGCTACTCATGCTATTAATATCACTCTATCTAGCTCTCTTTCTGGTTCTACTCCTCATAGTCGTGTTTATACTCATCTTCCCCGTTATAGTTTGGTCTGTATTTTTGGTTGTTATTGTTTTGTTCTTCTGCCATCTCACTCTATCTAGCTCGATCCATGCTCATTTCTTATCTCCCAAAGCTGTTCTCTATGTCTATTTAGGAATTAGTTCGGAACATCGAGGTTATCGTTGTTATGATCCCGCATCTCGCCAAGTTCATATATCTCGACATGTTCAGTTCGAAGAGGATTCTCTATTTTATTCTACTTCCGATGATTTTAATTTCCTCCATACTACTGATCGTGCTTCTCCGCCAGCTGCATCACCCACTTTCTTATCTTAGTTCTCCTTTTGAGATCTCCCTAAAATCTCTCCATCTCCTTATGTTGACTCTCCCTCACCCAAGCCTTCTCTTCCACCATCTGATCCTTATCCCATAGACACGACACCCACTCCAGAAAATACTATTGATTTTCATGCACCTGCGCCAACATATCCCCTGCCTAAGGTTCCTCTTGTTCTTTGTCGAGGCAAACACCCACATGTCATGCCTGCAAGGTATGCTTTGGTTACTTCCTAATCATCTATCTTTCATGATTTTCTTGCTGCCATTCATACTACAGTTGAGCCAAAGTCCTTTCAAGAGGCCGTTCAATTTTCAGAGTGGCGACAAGCTATGGCTGAGGAATTTTAGGCCTTTCAGCAAACACATACCTGAGATGTTGTTCAATGTCCCCTTGGCATCTCTTTAGTTGGCAGTAAATGGATTTATAAGGTCAAGTATCATCCTGATGGCACCATTGAATGTCGAAAAGCTCGTTTAGTGGCTCGAGGTCTTACTCAGCAATAAGGTATTGATTATAACATTTACTCCTGTTGCTCAGATACGCACCGTTCGTACTCTTCTTGTAGTCGCTACTGCTCATCCTTGGCCCTTATACCGGATGGATGTTAAAAATGCTTTTCTCCATGGCTCTTTATCTGAGACAGTATATATGTAACAGCCTCTAGGGTCTAATATTCCTTCGGAACATGTATGTCTCCTTCACTATGTTATTTATGGTCTCAAGCAGGCACCCCGCGCTTGGTTTGAGTGTTTTCATGATGTCGTGCTCAAGGCGAGCTCTATGGAAAGTCATCAAGATGCTTCTCTGTTTGTTCGCACTACATCGCATGGTAGAGTTTTATTACTCATCTATGTAGATGATATGATCATTACAGGTGATGATGTGGCTGGTATACAGTACGCAAAATCTCAATTGCAACAACGGTTTCATATGAAGGATCTTGGATCTCTTCGGTATTTTCTTGGTCTAGAAATTTCTCAAGACCCACGGGGTGTACTACTGTCTCAACAGAAGTATCTCTTGGATATTCTAGATCAAGCTGAGCTAACTGTCGATATAACTATCGATACTCCACTCTAACAGAATGTCGAACTTCGCTCTACTGATGGTGAGCCTCTATATGATCCTACTCGATATCGACATCTTGTTGGCTAGTTGGTCTATCTGTGCATCTCTCGACTAGATATCTCCCATGCTGTTAGCATTGTCAGTCAATTTGTTAGTACCCCACGTTCTGTACACTATGTTGTCTTATTACGGATTCTTCAGTATCTTCGGGTTACTAGCACTCGCTCTCTTCTGTTTCCTACTACATCCAAGTTAGAATTTTGTGCATATTCTGCTGCTGATTGGGCTGGTGATCTCACTACCAGGAAGTGTACCACATGTTATTATATATTTCTTGGTGATTCCCTAATTTCCTGACGGAGTAAGAAACAAGATGTTATTGCTCTTTCCAACACCGATGCAGAGTATCGTGCAATGTCCACAACACCTAAAGAGATTATTCATCTTCGTCATCTTCTCAGTGATTTTAGTATTTCTGTTTCGACCCTACTTCTATATATTGTGATAATAAGAGTGACATCCAAATTACTAATAATCCAGTATTTCATGAGAGGACCAAACACATTGAGACTGACGCTCATTTGGTTCGTCAACAAGTTATCAAGAATAAGATAATTCTACTTCCTCATGTGTTTTACCCAAGACTCTCTCTCTCTTTCTTTATTATATATATATATATATATATATATTTCATGAGAGGACCAAACACATTGAGACTGACGCTCATTTGGTTCGTCAACAAGTTATCAAGAATAAGATAATTCTACTTCCTCATGTGTTTTACCCAAGACTCTCTCTCTCTTTCTTTATTATATATATATATATATATATATATATATATATATATATAGAGAGAGAGAGAGAGAGAGGAGAGTGAGCTGTGCTCTCATAACCGATGTGAGACTAAACCCGCTACTAGCACATACAATAATATCAACTTGACAGTAGTTGTACACTCATTTATCCTTTATGGAATAATCAAACTATTCATATAACTCCATTACAATGCTTCTCATAAGACATGACTAATTATCTCCCTGTTTCACTACCTAAACACAACATTTTCTTCTCCCATATTTATCACCTCTTAAGTACTTAAACGCATCCAGGCTTGATCCGAGAGTAACGCATTTTCAGTACGCGTGTTGTTCTTACAGCAGGTCCTTGCCGTAGGGAAGGAAGTTTCCAGAAGCAAGCAAAGCCAATCCCTTTCGGCAAAACATTCAGTACGGCTCCTAGGACTTCTCCACGCAAAGAAATCCCATCGGTCGATTATTAAATCAACGGCTCTTATTCCACCGCCATTATCTCACGAAATAAAAAATCTTCATAAAAGTGGCAAATCACGCGCCGTGAGCGTGCGTGAAGTTCTGTCCAGTTTTAAATTTCAAATAAGGGAGGGGCTTTTCGACAATAATTTTCTAATATTAGAGAGAGGGGTCCCCCCGCGACGCATGTTTCGCTCGTTTCTTCTTCTTCCTCCTCCTCCTCCTCCTCTTTCGAGTCTCCCCTCCTCTTCTTCATTCAGCATTGTTTCCTCTTTGAAGGTCCCTAAACCCTAAGATCCATCAAAACTAGGCGTATGATAAAACTTTCAGCTCACGTTAGCAGTCTCGGCGCACTCGTTCCCCTCTCCGTCTCTTCGCTTCTCTCCGCTCTTGTCATTTTGTGCTCAGAGCTTGCAACCCTAATTTCAATGGATTCATGTGGTGACCCGATCCTGAAAGATTTCCTATTAGGATGAGGAAGCGAGAGGAGAAGACGCTGAAGGAGCTGTACGATATCACCGAGAAGATTACGCAACCTTGAGGCATGTAAAGTTCTTTACCTTTGCTTCTTCAGATCAAGGTTTTATTTAGTAATCCTCTTTATTAGCGATTCAATCGGGACTAATTAAGCTTTACTTTGGATTTCGATGATTAATTACCCTTTAATCGATAGTTGATCATGGTGTTTGTAATTGTAAAGTATGCAACTTACGAAGTTTCGGTGTGCTTTGTAGATAACACCAGTACTGAAAGGGAATTGTCGAATCCAAGGACCTGTGGATGAGTCAGATCATGAGCTTCGCAGGACGAATTCAGTAAGATCCGAACAAAGATTATCTGTTTGTAATGCAAGTTCTCTGCTTATGACTTGTTCATTACATGTTACTCTGTTGCGCTGATGTTGATCCACTCTTATGAACTCAATTTTTAATCTTACTGAGATGGTTGTCGTATATATTTCTCGATCATTCATCTGAATTACCTATTATGAAATTTGAAGCAATGAGACAGTGAAATTGTGGGGGTTTGATTTCTGTACTCCTTGTATATGGCCAATATTGAGACTCTATACTACTTTTGGTTAATAGTTTTCCCCCTTTTTTCATCATTATTTTTGTGGAACTTTGTTTATATTTGCATAATTTGTTCTAAATTCAATTGAAGAATTGATTTAGTTTTCCCTTTAGATGATCCAGTTTTGAGGTCATTACGTGATAGCAGATCAAAGCTAGTGCTTTCGTCTATACAGGAATAATATGTTGATTAAGTTGATTTACTTCCTCTTCTTTAACCTTCATTTAGAACTATTTTACTCCGGTAAATATCTTCTTTTACATGGATGGTCAAATTCATGTTTCTTATTTCTTTTGGTTATACTGGAATTTGTTGGATGCTCATTTTGATATACAAATGAAATCTAAAGATGTATAAGACAGGCATACGAAGAAGTCTTTATGTTCACTTATTAATTATTGGGTCAATTGCAGACAAACTCGTTGTATTATACAGGTTTGCTTCTTAGTACCTCTGCACTATTTTATTAGTACATGCACGCTCTTTTTTTTTAACCCTCAGGGGTTCGTGTGTGTGCAAAAGAACATATTTTTCTCCGTCTCCCTCCCTTTCCCTGTTCCTCCCTCTCTCCCGTTCACCCATTCGCCCACCCTCTCCTTCCTGTCTTTCCCATTGAGATAAAAAAGCATAGGTCTAAAGGAGCCCGCTTCACCAACTCACCCCCCTTTGTTAGGTTTAGATGCGTTGCTGTACCTGCTTTTTTCCGCTGGTTCAGATTGGTCACTTCGCTTTATTAGTTTGGAATGAGACCTTCTATCACAGAGCAAGTAGTATATCACTCCATAACGAAGCAAGTAAAGTTCCACACCGCTATATCTGGACAAGATGTAGACCATGGATGTGTAGATAGGAGTGAGGATGGG